TTGGGTTGTTACCAACATCTGGTGAAAATTTCATGTCATTAGCACCTCTAGTAATATATTTACTGAGAAAAATGTTGATGTGTTCAATACTTACAGTATTTTACCCGCTGTATCTAAGTCTACTTTGTCACTATATTTTTGTMACATTTTAAAGCTAAAAATGATGCATTTTCTTATTTACTTTAAAATGTAACACCTAGTTACTCGTTACAAAATAAAATATGTCTGAACTCATCATGAAAGATGTTCCTGCACTCTAAAAAATGAAGTGTTGAATTTATTCAACCAACTCATGTCAAATGGCTCCACTAAGCCTAGTTGAGTAAACTGAGCAAATACTATAAATATATTGRTTAATTTACTCAATAATGGTTTGGATCAGTGATTTCAACAGTTTTTTTTTTCTTAGAGAGTGTATAAAAGTTTTATTTTTACTTTTATTTTCCCAATTTTTGTGAATGATTTTATGACTTTTATTTGAGTACTTTTCTCATCAGTGAAATTTATTTTTACCAAAGTCTTTTCTGTTCATGTAATTTTACTTTTATTTTTTTTTCAAGTACTGTATACCTCTGGGTTCCTGTCCCATCCCTGAAAACAAACGGAACATTACTGTTGATAACATAAAATAAAAACACACCACTGGTGTGTTTCCATGTGTTGATTCTTGTTGAGTTGCACAGTTCTTACTTTACTGCTGTGTTGTGTGTTATTCGTTATGTATGCCAAAGCTCAGACTGCCTGGTCATCTGCAGACACACATGGGTAGTCTTTATAAATTCATTCTTGATCAACTTCCCTCTAACTTTGTCAATTTAAAACAAGAAAAGGTCCCAAGAGCCACACTGAACTTAACAAACAGGCTTTTATGTTCTCTGCCCCTGCAACTTCAAACCTCCAACATTTATAACTTCCCAACCAGGGCCCGTATTTATCAAACTTCTTAGAATTCCTCTTAAGAATGCTGCTAAGAGTGGACTTAAGTGTAAAAATAAATCTTAGTTAAAAGCTGAGAGTAAAAGTCGGTTATCAAGCGTCTCAGTTTTACTTTAAGTGAAGTGTAGGAGTAATTCTTCAGRGTCAGTCTTAGAGCTGATCTGTGACACCTGGCTGTGCCACAAAGCTGATCCTGGATGACGTCGTTAGAAAAAACCCCGACATGAACCAATCACTGCCTCAGATTTCATTTTCAAGAATATTGTTGGAGAAAAGTCAAGATAAGATTGTGAAAATACTAAGTTCACTTTCAGCACACTAATGTTGTCACCTTGTACTGATTGTCTGTAAATTACATGAACTGTTCTCGTTTGCATCATGAGAACAGATTTTTTTTTCAAAAATTCAACAGCTTTAAAGTTTTTTGTCTCAGAGCCTGAGGCAGTGTTGTATAAAGTACCTCAAAGTGATACTTGAGTAAAAGTACAAGTATCTTACCAAAAAATTCCTTTGGTAAAAGTTAAAGTACTCTTTAGGAATATTACTTGAGTAAAAGTCTTAAAGTATCTGATGTT